TGTAATATTACTAATAATATTACAGTATAATGTTATAGTACAATATAGTAATATATAATATTATTATTGTGCTATGGTAATAATATAATATATTCTATTTACTTTTTACTTGTAAGCCGCTCTGAGTTCCCTTCGGGGTGAGAAGGGCGGCATATAAATGTGGTAAATAAATAAATAAACAAATAAACAGGGCAACAATATATACAGTAGTTTCTCTGAATTCACACAAAGAACGAGGGAATAAACAGTCCTTTTAAACAGTCTTTAAAATATGCTTCATGCCTTAGAAATGATCAGGCTTTAGAGAGTTGGCAGCCATTTCCTTCCTGGCTGTTTCCAGTCAGCGCTCTCTTCACTCTCCGAGATGAAAGTGGCAGTTAAAACTGTTTGTCTCAGCAGCAAGCCAGAGACAGCAGCCAATCAGAACTCCGGTTCCTGGCATGCTCAGTCAATCAGCTGCCGACACATGTCTTTCCAGTCAACCCACCACATCATGGTGTCTCTTTACAAATCTCCACACATCTCCACTGTAGAACGAATGCAGTTTTAAAAGGGTCTTTGAGTGAAATTTGCAAATGCTAAGCAAGGGGCTTTGAATGAAATTAACAGCAAAAGAGAAATATACCCTTTCTCTGTAGAAAAAGAGCAACACGGAACAAAATGTTTTTAAGAAACAAGATGTGACATGTAGAGGTCATACAAAGTTCAAGCCTACATAGGAAGTAGTTGTGTTGTGGTTAAGCCAAAGGTTGTGGTTAAGCGCAGAGTCTGCAGGTACAAGAAGGTACTTTCCATCAAAAGGTCAAGGGAGAGGGGCTGGAAAGAGAGTACTTTCCATGACCAAAAAAAAAAAAGTTCTTGTTTACTTGAGTATAAAAGTCAGCAGAAACAGAGGAGCGGGGCGGCAGTAACTTGAAGGGTAGCATCTGCGTTTGCTGCCAGGCTGTCCCTCTTCTTCATGAAGAAACTAAAATAAACCTTGTTTTTTGATCTTTTTTGGGGATTGTCTCCTTCCTTACGTGCTCCCGTGATGTGGATCTAAGAAGACCCAATTTAGGGTCTCTAACAGTTTGACCCCGCTTGAACTCCCTTCGCTCAGTGCTATGGAATAATGGGAGTTGTCGTTGGAAGAGGTCTTGAGCCTTCGTTATCAAAGAGTGCAAACTACAACTCCCAGGATGCCATAGCATTGATTCAACAGTGTAGAGAAGTTTGAGTGTAAGTAATTGCTACTTACTTTGGAAGCTGTTTTCCAGTAGAACCTGTTTGGCCTGTAAGAAGGAAGGATATATCAGGAGTGAAGCAAGAGTATTAGATCACAAACAGCAGCAATTTGCTTACTAAGATGACAACTGTACTCAAAACCTCTTTGTGCCTTTGGCAATTGGCACCCAATAGATTGAAATCAGGCACGGAAACAATGGAGACAGTGTTGTGTCTAGTACAGGTAGTCTTTGAGTCTCTTTTAAGAGAGGATATCTGGATATTATTGTTGTTGTTGTTGTTGTTATTGTTACTAAAAAGTTACTTTTTAACAATATGGCAAACGATTCCAGATATAATAATAATAATAATAATAATAATAATAATAATAATAATAATGGGTTGTTGTGGGTTTTTTCGGGCTATATGGCCATGGTCTAGAGGCATTCTCTCCTGACGTTTCGCCTGCATCTATGGCAAGCATCCTCAGAGGTAGTGAGGTCTGTTGGAACTAGGAAAATGGGTTTATATATCTGTGGCATGACCAGGGTGGGACAAAGGACTCTTGTCTGCTGGAGCTAGGTGTGAATGTTTCAACTGACCACCTTGATTAGCATATCTGGCTACCAGTATTAAAAAAAACTCTAAAATTACAACAGCACAACAACAGAGAGGAAACAAGGACATCTAATCACCTCTCAACAAAAGTTTGCTCCAGGCACTGTCAGGCCATTTGCAAAAATCTATAATAATAATAATAATAATAATAATAATAATAATAATAATAATAATGTAATAATAAAAAGTAACTTTTAAAAACTGCCAAAATTCCATAATAATAATAATAATAATAATAATAATAATAATAATAATGTAATAATAAAAAGTAACTTTTTAAAACTGCAAAAATTCCATTATTATTATTATTATTATTATTATTATTATTATTATTAAAGTTACTTTTGATCATGACAACTCCCAGAATATCCCAACAACATGGCCAGTGACTCCAGGTAGAACAACAATAACAATAAAAATAATATAATAAAAAGGTAACTTTTTAAAACTTTGCAAAAATCCATTATTATTATACATAATAATAATTTAATAATAAAAAGTAACTTTTAAAAACTGCCAAAATCCATTAATAACTATAATAACAATGGATTTTTGAAAGTTACTTTTGATCATGACAACTCCCAGAATATCCTAACCAACATGATCAATGACTCCAGGTACAATAATAATAATAATAATAATAATAATAATAATAATAATAGATTTTTGCAAAGTTTTTAAAAATTAGTTTTTGTAATTATAAATCCAAGAATCCCCCAACCAAAAAGGGCAATAACCCTGGATAAAATAATAATAATAATAATAATAATAATAATAATAATAATAATATCAAGAGTTCATTTTTGCAAAGTTTTCAAAAGTTATTTTGCATAGTGACAACTCCCAGAATCCCTCTTAAGAACCACTGACCCCTCTGACCTTGACTCACCTTTTGGGGAATGGACGCTGGGTGATTCTCTACTATCAAACGCTTCAGGTAATGGATCCAGAGCCTTTTTTCTTCCTGGTTTCGCACCTGGAGCAGTGGAAACAAGCCTTTATGTATTAATTCCAAAACAAAGTATCCCAAAGATATGCTTTCATATTAGGTTCGAATCTGGGAGAGCGGGTTGAGCTCCCTCTGTCAACTCCAGCTCCCCGTGCAGGGACATGAAAGAAGCCTCCCACAAGGATAGTAAAACAGCAAATGTCCGGGCGTCCATTGGGCAACGTCCTTGCAGATGGCCAATTCTCTCACACCAGAAGCAACTTGCAGTTTCTCAAGTCACTCCTGACACACAAAAAATATCTATGTCTAATTCCATGTCAATGTTTATATATCCTGTAGGGTTTAAATTGTAATTTGTATTGTTACTCATGTTGTGAGATCCTTTGAGTCTCATTTAAGAGAGGAAAGCCAGATATCAATAATAATAATAATAATAATAATAATAATAATAATAATAATAATCTAATACAACAGCCAGCAGTGTGTCTGCTGTGGACTCATCTTGCTGTGTTTCAAATAATAATAATAATAATAATAATAATAATAATAATAATAATAATAATAAATCTCATTTGCTGTGACATACTGTGCTTTTGTGTCAACAATAATAATAATAATAATAATAATTATTATTATTATTATTATTGAAGGCACACAACAACAACACACTGACCGTAGTATGGGGTCATAATTGTTATTTAATTTATGTTTTAATTATGCTGCAACCTGCCACAAGGAGAGGTGGGTCAGAAATAAAATAGCAATAATTGTTATTTCTTTAATACTGAAACTTTTTGCACTTCTTTCCAAGGCGTTCAGCCTGAGAAAGGCTCGGCACCCGGGCCAGATGCAGAAATTAATGAGCCAGTAGATAGGAAAAGTCCTTTCAGTCAGCAAAGAAAAACAAACCATGCTCTCAGGCACTCTGCCAGATTGCAGGAGAGACTGATAGCAGATTCAAGGCTGAGACGAAATCCGTTCCTTGCTGCTGGGATATAGAGTAGATTAGGGGATATAAGTGCCAAGTACAGAATCAGTAGCCAGACGAAGCAACGTTGGAAATGAGTCAAGAAGTTGTCTCAGGTCCATGGAAGCCTTGCCTTGGATAGATTCCTGTATTATGTGCCTTGTGATTTCCATGCTGAATTGCCTTGATTCAAGGCTGAGATGAAATCCGTTCCTTGCCACTTGGGATATAGAGTAGATCAGGGGATAAAAGTGCCAAGTACAGAATCTGTAGCCAGATGAAGCAATGAAGCAACGTGGGAATTGAATCAAGATGTTGTCTCAGGTCCCTGTAAGCCTTGCCTTGGATAGATTCCTATATTACATGCCTTATGATTTCCATGCTGAATTGCTTTGTTATTTCCATGCTGAAGTGCCTTGTTTGATTCATGCTCAAGTTTTGGGGTTTTGCCTTGGAAGTTCTAGTATTTGCCTTGGATAGATTCCTATATTACATGCCTTATGATTTCCATGCTGAATTGCCTTGTTATTTCCATGCTGAAGTGCCTTGTTTGATTCATGCTCAAGTTTTGAGGTTTTGCCTTGGAACTTCTAGTATTTGTTTTCATGAACTCTGATGGACTAATTTCTTGGACTATTTGTTCCTATCTATCCTTTTACCTACTTGGAATTATCTATTTTTGTGGATTGCTTTTTACTGCTACTACTTTTCATTATGTTCAACAGGCTCTCAGGCGCTCTGCCAGATTGCAGGGGAGGCTGATAGCAGATTCAAGGCTGAGACAAAATCCGTTCCTTGCCGCTTGGGATATAGAGTAGATTAGGGGATATAAGTGCCAAGTACAGAATCTGTAGTCAGACGAAGCAATGTTGGAATTGAGTCAAGACATTGTCTCAGGTCCCTGGAAGCCTTGCCTTGAATAGATTCCTATATTACATGCCTTTTGATTTCCATGCTGAAGTGCCTTGTTTGATTCATGCTCAAGTTTTGGGGTTTTGCCTTGGAAGTTCTAGTATTTGTTTTCATGAACTCTGATGAACGAATTTCTTGGACTATTTGTTCCTATCTATCCTTTTACCTACGTGGATTTACCTATTTTTGTGGATTGCTTTTTACTGCTACTACTTTTCATTATCTTCAACAGGCTCTCAGGCGCTTCTTGACTCATTTCCAACGTTGCTTCATCTGACTACAGATTCTGTACTTGCCGCTTGGGATATAGAGTAGATTAGAGGATAAAAGTGTCAAGTACAGAATCTGTAGCCAGACGAAGCAACGTTGGAAATGAGTCAAGACGTTACCTCAGGTCCCTAGAAGCCTTGCCTTGGATAGATTCCTGTATTACATGCCTTATGATTTCCATGCTGAATTGCCTTGTTATTTCCATGCTGAAGTGTCTTGTTTGATTCATGCTCAAATTTTGGGGTTTTGCCTTGGAAGTTCTAGTATTCTAGAACTCTGATGGACTAATTTCTTGGACTATTTGTTCCTATCTATCTTTTTACCTACTTGGATTTATCTATTTTTGTGGATTGCTTTTTACTGCTACTACTTTTCATTATCTTCAACAGTCTCTCAGGCGCTCTGCCAGATTGCAGGAGAGACTGATATCAGATTCAAGGCTGAGACGAAATCTGTTCCTTGCCGCTTGGGATATAGAGTAGATTAGGGGTGTTTGGATGTAGACCTACCTGGATGACATGCTGCTGTTTGGGGATGGAAAGGTCGGAGATTTTGAAACTCATCGGGTCTTTGGTGTTTTCTTGCAAAGCCAGGTTACAACACTGTGAAAAAGACGAGAAGGAAATGAACGGAAAAGTCTTGCTCCACTGTTATTTACCTACAGTTAAAGCTCAAACCTCACAACCTCTGAGGATGCCTGCCATAGATGTGGGTGTAACGTCAGGAGAGAATGCTTCTGGAACATGGCCAGACAGCTCGGAAAACTCCCAGCAGCCCAGTGATTCGATGTGGGTGAAACGTCAGGAGAGAATGCTTCTGGAACATGGCCAGACAGCTCGGAAAACTCACAGCAACCCTGTGATTCCAGCCACGGAAGCCTTCGACAACACATTAAACCTCTGAGAGTTCATTCTTTTTCACGGCCTTATTGATATCCACCTAGACTATCTTTCCTCCCCGTTCTCGTCCTCTGTCTAGCAGCAACCTTTTTAGCAGCATCAGCATTCAGGCAAAAAAATACATACGAAGATGTGGCTCTTGTAGATGAAGGTGTCTCCCCGCCGCTTGGCGATCAGGACCACTTTGCTGAGAAGGAAGAAGACCCTCTCTTTGCGGGCTCTCGGCACCCGGAACTGCCCTTCCAGGATCAGCTCCCCAAAAGCCCCCAATTCCGGGCCGTTCCAGCCGAGCAGCAGGCCCTCGATTTCCTAGAAAGGATGGGAAAAGTTTGGGGTGGGATCCAGAAAATGTAAAGGGACGGGGATAAAATACATCTATCTATCTATTTATGTAACTATGGAGTCCCTGGTGGTACAGTGGGTTAAACCGCTAAACTGCTGAGCTTGTTGACCGAAAGGTCGCAGGTTCAAATCCAGGGAGCAGGGTGAGCTCTCACTGTTAGCCCCAGCTTCTGCCAACCTAGCAGTTTGAAAAAAATGCAAATGTGAGTAGATCAATAGATACCACTAAGGTGGGAAGGTAATGGCGCTCAATGCAGTCATACTGGCCACATGACCTTGGAGGTGTCTATGGACAACGCCGGCTCTTCGGCTTAGAAATGGAGATGAGCACCAACCCCCAGAGTTGGACACAACTGGACTTAATGTCAGGGGAAAATTTTTACTTCTATCTATCTATCTATCTATCTATCTATCTATCTATCTATCTATCTATCCGTATGTATGTATGTATGTATGTATGTATGTATGTATGTATATATATGTATATGTATTATTATACCACTATATATATCTATATATATATAAATGCTCATGTCGTAATGAGTGGCTTAAAAACAAAAGAACCGCTGGGACAATACCCACCAAATTTGGCAACAAAACTCCTCACCATACAAGGTGTGACCATCAATAATAAAAAACAAACAAAAGAACTTACAAATCCTAAAAAAGGAGAAGATACCACTGGGCATGCGTACTGAGACGGGGGTGGGTGGGTGCGTGCGCACTTGCACACACAGGAGAGCTCTACATGGCGGAGCCTGTGCCGGCAACGGCCTGGAGTCAGCCTTGGCTCTCTCCCTCCTCCTCCTCTCCCTTCCTTCTCTCTTCCCCCATTTTCTCCCTTCATGCCTTCCCTGCCTCCTCTCCTCCCTCCCTCTTTCCCTCATCCTTCCCCTCTTTCCTTCTCTCTTTCCTCTTTCCTTTCCTCCCTCCCTTCTATCATTCCTCCTTCCCTTCTTCCTCCGTCTTCAGCTCTCCCCTTGGGTGCCGCCATCAAGGGGCTCCAGTAAGCCCTGCCCCTAATAGAGCAGAGTGTGCTGGGGACGAAGGAAGGAAGGAAGGAAGGAAGGAAGGAAGGAAGGAAGGAAGGAAGGAAGGAAGGAAGGAAGGAAGGAAGGGGTGAACCCAGTTCAGTTCCAGGTGAGCTGGACATCCATGTAGCTCCCAAGGTCAAATTTTCTCCAATTTCCACCAGAATTCACCTTTGGGCATATTGAGGGTTTCTCCCAAGTTTGGTCCCAATCCATCTTTGTTTGGATTCACAGTGCTCTCCGGATGAAGAATTTCTCCTCCTCCTCCTCCTCATTCTCTCATCCACCCCAACTCCTCCTTCCTTCCCTCCTTCCTTCCTTCCCTTCCTTTCTCTACTTCTTTCTCCTTCCTTTAATTCTTTGCCTCCCTGCCTTCCCTCCTTCCTCTCCCTCCTTTTTCCCTTTCCTTTTCTCCATTACTCCTCCCACCCTTTCTTTCCTTCCCTCCTTTCCCTTCCTTCCTTTCTTTCCCCCCTCACCAGCTTCATCCTTCTTTATTAAATCTACAGTTTAGATGCACTCAAAGTCACCCCTTCCACACTGCCATGTAAAATCCAGATTATCTACTTAGGACTGGATTCTATGGCAGTGTAGACACACACACACACAGATATGGATGGATACAGGATCACTGGTTGGTGGTATATATCTATATTCTGTCTATCTCTCTATCTCTATGTATATACATATATACATATATATAATTACAATACTATATATATTACTATTATATATACTGCTATATAATACATAAATATTATATTATATATATTACTGTTATATCTATTACTATATAATATGTTACTACTATATGTTACTATATTAAATAGACTCCTAGAATAGAGTTAGAAGGGACTCTACCAGACAGAAGAGAAGTAGGAAGGGAAGGAAGGAAAGAAGGAAGGAAGGAAAGAAAGAGGTACCGAAGGAAGGAAGGAAGAAGATAAAGTAGAAAGGAAAGGAAAGGCAGGAAAGAGGTAAAGAAGGAAGGAAGGGAAAAGGAAATAAAAAGTGAAAGAAGCAAGAAAACAGTGAAGGAAGACATGAGACAAAGGAAGAAGTAGAGAAAGGGGGAGAGAAGGAAGGAAAGAGAGGAGGAAGGATGAAACCAAAGAGTGAAATAAGGAATGAAAGAAAGAGGTAGAGAAGGAAGAAAGGAGAGAAAGGGGAAGGGGAAGAAAAAGGGGGAAGGAATAGGTAGGTACTCTCTTTCATAATAGTCCAGATATCTACCTCTACTTCGAAAATTCTTACTATAGGCCACAGCAACGCGTGGCGGAGTACAGCTAGTGTGTGTGTGTATGTATGTGTGTGTGTGTGTGTATATATATATATATATGCACAGCATAAACCATGAATCCAATGTGTTATTGGCATTACAGATTGTAATAGCAGTTCGATATCGCTTTAAGGAGTTAACTGTAGGAAATCTAGGAATTTATAGTTTGGTGACAAGAGGGTTTCGGCATCCCTGTTAGAGAGCTGTTATTATTATTATTATTATTATTATTATTATTATTATTATTATTATTATCTAGGTATTATTATTGATAATGTATTACCTTTTACCAGCGATTTATTATTATTATTAATTTTACTATTATTATTTTGCTATTACTACTATTACAATACTATTTTATCACACTTACTAGCACTGCTATTATTATTATTATTATTATTATTAGGGGTGATCTTGGACGAGTCGCACTCTCTCGGCCTCCCACCTGCAGCCGCGTGGCATGTTCCTGCTTGCGCTTCATGTCGTTGATGTACCAGGCCACGGCAGTCATGGTGATGCTGGCCTCCTCCACGGCTTCGTAGCCAGCGCTGCTCTTGTCGTAATGCTTGGCCAGTTCCTGGAACAGAAGCAAAGACATCCTAAGATCCAAGTATTTCCGTTACACCAGTGAAAATTATTATTTCTGTGCTGTTCTCATGAGATTACAGAATTCGAAGGGTCCCCCAAAGACCATCTAGTCCAACCCTAATCTGCCATGAAGGAAGGCACAATCCAGTCCTCCCTGACAGATGGCCATCCAGCCTCTGTTTAAAAGTTTCCAAAGAAGCAGCCTTCACCATATTCCAGGGCAGAGAGTTCCACTGCTGAATGGATGGCCATCCAGCCTCTGCTTAAAAACCTCCAGAAAAAGAAAGAGATCCCACCAGACTCCCAGGCATTCTATATTCCACTAGAGTTGAAAAGGGACCCCCAAAGTACATCCAGTCTGACCCCAATCTGCCATGAAAGAAGACACAATCCAACCCCTCCTGATAGAATCATATCTGGATGGATCTCAAAGGCCATTCAGTCCAACCCCATTCCGCCAAGAAGCAGGAAAATCTTATTCAAAGCACCCCCAACAGATGGTCACCCAATCTCTGTTTAAAAGCCTCCAAAGAAGCAGCCTCCACTATACTCCAGGGCAGAGTATACAGAGAGTTCCACTGCTGAACAGATGGCCATACATGCTCTGTTTAGAAATCTCCACAGAGGAAGACTCCACCAGACTTCAAGGCAGAGTTGGAAGGTGTCAGTGTGTAATTCATGTATGATGTGTGTTTAAATGTAATTTTACGTGATAGGATTGTGGTTGTAATAGAATCGTATTGCCAGGATGTAGTTTGACACAGAAGGGTTCAACAGCAAAGGAACAAGCTGTGATAATGTGACCCTGAGTTCTTGCTCTGTGCAAGATTAGGGAGTGCCAGAGATAAACTTCCTTCCAGTTGCAGTTTGTATTAGTTCCTATCTCTTTCGGTTTGTGTTCTTCACAACTGTCAGCTGATGGTGTATGTTGTCTATTTTGAGCTGCTCAAGAAAAGCTGAAAACCTGCTTTTACCGGAGACTCCAGAGTCCATTATTCTGAGCTTCTACGATACTCTGCTACACGGTAACAGAAGGGACCCCCCCCCAAAGGCCACCCACTCCAGGCCCCTTTCTGCCAGCCAGGAAGAGATTATCCAAGCCCTCCTGACAGATGGCCATCTGGAATTGACCTGCGAACCAACCTGGAGTAGCAAGTGGTACTTCAATATCCGCTGGACTGGTTTGAGGAGATAGGTCTCCAAGGGCAGCGAGTGCGACAGCGTTGTCTGCCGTTCACGGAAGAATTTAGCCAGGGCTTCGTTCTCCATGCATTCCCGCAGGACTGAGACGGAGCTTAGGAAGAAAGAGGAAAGGGAGAAATAATAATAATAATATTAATAATAATAATAATGAGGAAATGCTATGACTTCCCTTAATCTAGACCAGTGGTTCTCAACCTTCCTAACGTCTCGACCCCTTAATACAGTTCCTCATGTTGTGGTGACCCCCAACCCTAAAATTATTTTTGTTGCTACTTCATAACTGGAATTTTGCTACTGTTATGAATCATCATGTAAATATCTGATAGGCAGGATGTATTTTCATTCTCTGGACCTTGGGAGTTGTGGTTGCTGGGATTTATAGTTCAGCTACAATCAAAGAGCGACTAAAATGATAAAAGGTCTGGAGAACAAGCCCTATGAGGAGCGGCTTAAGGAGCTGGGCATGTTTAGCCTGAAGAAGAGAAGGCTGAGAGGGGATATGATAGCCATGTATAAATATGTGAGAGGAAGCCACAGGGAGGAGGGAGCAAGCTTGTTTTCTGCTTCCTTGGAGACTAGGACGCGGAACAATGGCTTCAAACTACAAGAGAGGAGATTCCATCTGAACATGAGGAAGAACTTCCTGACTGTGAGAGCCGTTCAGCAGTGGAACTCTCTGCCCCGGATTGTGGTGGAGGCTCCTTCTTTGGAAGCTTTTAAACAGAGGCTGGATGGCCATCTGTCAGGGGTGATTTGAATGCAATATTCCTGCTTCTTGGCAGAATGGGGTTGGACTGGATGGCCCATGAGGTCTCTTCCAACTTTTGGGTTCTACCTACAATCAAAGAACATTCTGAACTCCACCAGAGATGGAATTGACTCAAACTTGGCACACAGAACGCCCATGACCAGCAAAAAATAATGAAAGCGTTAGGTGAGCATTGGCCTTGAGTTTGGGAGTTGTAGTTCACCTCTCTCCATAAAGCACTGTGGACTCAATGATGGATCTGGATAAAACTTGGCACAAATACTCAATATGCCCAAATGTGAACACTGGTAGAGTTTGGAGAAAATAGACCTTGCCATTTTGGAGTTGTAATTGTTGGGATTTATAGTTCACCCACAATGAAATAGCATTCTGAACCCCACCGATAGAATTGGACCAAACTTTCCACACAGAATCCCCATGACCAACAGAAAATACTATGTTTTCTGATGGTCTTTGGCGACCCCTCTGACTCCCCCTCGCGACCCCCACAGGGGTTGCGACCCCCAGGTTGAGAAACACTGATCTAGACACTATCCTCCTAATGACGCAGGCTAAAACTGCATTGCTCCCACCTTTTAATTATTATTCAACATATAAATTTTAGACAACATCAAGCAATAATCAGACTGCACCAAAACAGAGAGTAACGACTAAGAGAAGAAGGAAAATTAAAGTAGAATACATTGAACGCTATATCTATAACACTAAGTTAAATAAACAGAAGTGAGATGTTACTTCCAATTAGTATACTACAAGGGTTGAATGTAAAGTAATGCCTCCACATTTGTAGCTCCACAACAGATGACAGTACTGGTATGCGGCAGGTACTGGCTTGTTCAGTAGACTCTCCTCTACAGTTCCATTTTGGCGGGAAGTCTTAGCATTGAACGGTTGTGTTGTTAAAGTGCAAAGTATGGAACCCTGAGCAGACGGTCGGTCAATGCGACTTAAGCAATGTATGCGGCAGGTACTGGCTTGTTCAGTAGACTCTCCTCTACAGTTCCATTTGGGTGGGAAGTCTTAGCATTGAACGGTTGTGTTGTTAAAGTGCAAAGTATGGAACCCTGAGCAGACGGTCGGTCAATGCGACTTAAGCAACGTATGCGGCAGGTACTGGCTTCTTCAGTAGACTCTCCTCTACAGTTCCATTTTGGCGGGAAGTCTTAGCATTGAACGGTTGTGTTGTTAAAGTGCAAAGTATGGAACCCTGCGCAGACTGTCGGTCAATGCGACTTAAGCAACGTATGCGGCAGGTACTGGCTTCTTCAGTAGACTCTCCTCTACAGTTCCATTTTGGCGGGAAGTCTTAGCATTGAACGGTTGTGTTGTTAAAGTGCAAAGTATGGAACCCTGCGCAGACTGTCGGTCAATGTGACTTAAGCAACGTGTGCGACAGGTACTAGCTTGTTCAGTAGACTCTCCTCTACAGTTCCATTTTGGCGGGAAGTCTTAGCATTGAACGGTTGTGTTGTTAAAGTGCAAAGTATGGAACCCTGCGCAGATGGTCGGTCAATGCGACTTAAGCAACGTATGCGGCAGGTACTGGCTTGTTCAGTAGACTCTCCTCTACAGTTCCATTTTGGCGGGAAGCCTTAGCATTGAACGGTTGTGTTGTTAAAGTGCAAAGTATGGAACCCTGAGCAGACGGTCGGTCAATGCGACTTAAGCAACGTGTGCGGCAGGTACTGGCTTGTTCAGTAGACTCTCCTCTGGTGCTTTGCTTCTAAAGTGTTGCTAAAGTTCTGGTGGTGAAAATTTCAGTTTCTAACAAAACTTTCAAAATGTAATTGTTATTTTGCTATTGGTGATTTTTATGACAGAACCAATTAAGAACTGCCATTTATAACTAAATTTTGAAAGTTTTGTTAGCCACCAGAACTTTAGAAACACTTTAGAAGCAAAGCACTAGCGCCCACTAGTTTTGTAAGTACTTTAGAACCATGGGTTGCCCATGCTTAATACTAACTGTGCTGGCTTGCTCGCTCTATACTGTAGCTTGACTCCTTACTGTTTGATTATCCTTATGCATTCAGTATCGAACAACAACAACAAAACAATACATGACTATCGTATTTCCTATAAACTTCTTCATTTTGTAGGGAATTTATACTTACTTGGGGTAGTTCATGCAGTACAGGGTGTAGATGTCAAATTCTTCACTCTGCAAGATGCAATGGGACTTGCATTAAAGTGCATTGAAGTGGTTGTTCTTTCTCCCACCATTAGGTGGCAGCACTGCATTGTTATTGTTTCCCCCCTTAAAGAGACATCATCCCAATTTCCCAACCACTAAACAGTGCAGAATTTGGGATTCCAAGAGATATTATTTGGTGACCATTCATTTCCTGGTTTTCCCACTGGGACACTTCTTGTGTTCCTATATTAAAGGGGAAAAGCCAATCCAAACAACCACAAATTTAATTCTTTGCAACCACCAAGGCTTACAACATGTAATTCCCTGACCATTTTGGATGGAAAAATTATCCAGACAGACCAGGGAGATATCTACTTGCAAATACTATTATTTCCTTGTTTGCAATGGCATTTTCAGCCCTCCACATGTCTTGGTTTACAAATGCCGTCAGACCCAAATGGCTTGGCAAGGAATGATGGGAATTGCAGTTGAAAACCAGAGTGAAATAGTGGCTTAAAATTTGGACTATGACTCTGGATCAGGCATGGGCAAACCTTTTTAACTTGGGGGCCCACATGCTGGCACTCCCTGCTAGGAGAACTGGCTTCCTGGTGAAGGAAGGAAGGAAAGAGAGAAGGAAAAACAAACGAGAGGAGGGGAAGGATGGAAGGAGAAAGAGGGAGGAAAGAGGGAAGGAAGGAAACACAAAATGCAAGAAAGGAAGAATGAAAGGGTGGAAGGGAAGGGAGGGAGGAAGGAAGGAAGGAAGGAAGGAAGGAAGGAAGGAAGAAAGAGGGAAGAAAGGGCGGAAGGAAGGAAGTGTAAAGGAAAGAGGGAAGGAAGGAAAAGGAGGAAGATAAGGAAGGGAGGGAGGAAAGACAGAAGGAAAGATAAAAGGGAAGGAAGGAGGGAAGGAAGGGAAGGAGAAAGGGGTGGGAGGAGGAAAGAGGGAAGGATGAAAGGGTGGAGAGAAAGAGAAGGAAGAAAGGGTTGAAAGTAATGGAGGGAGGGAAGAGAGGGAGGAATGAGAAACACAAAAGGGAGTGAAGGACAAAAGGGTGGAAGAGAAGGAGGGAGGAGAAAAAGGAGAAAGAGGGAGGGAAGGAAGAGAAAGAAGGAACGACAAAAGGGAAGGAAGGAAGGGGAGAGAGAGAGGAAGGGAGGAAAGGTGGATGGGAAGGAGGGAGAGGAGGAGGAAGGAGAGAAGAAAGGAAGGATGAAAGGGTGGAAGGAGGAGAGGGAGAGAGGAAAGGGAAGGAAACGAAAAGGAAGGAAGGATGAAGGGGTGTAAGTGAAGAGAAGAGGGAGGAAGAAAGGAGGAAGGAAAGGAGCTGGAGGAAAGAGAGAAGGGAGGAAAGAGGAAGAGAAGAGGGAGAGAGGGAAGGAAGGACAAAGGGGAAGGAAGGAGAAAGAGGGAAGGAGGGAAGGAAAGAAGAAGGAAGGGAAGGAAGGAGAGAGGGAGAAAGAGGGAGGGAAGGAAGGAAAGGGGATGGAGGAAGGAGAGAGGAGGGAGGGAGGGAGGGAGGGAGGGAGGGAGGGAGGGAGGGAGGAAGGAAGGAAGGAAGGAAGGAAGGAAGGAAAGGGAAGGAAGGAAGGAAGGAAGGAAGGAAAAGAAGAGGGAAGGAAGGAAGGACGAAGGGGAAGGAAGAGGAGGGAAGAGGAAGGAAAGAGAGAGGAAGGAAGGATGAAGGGGAAGGGAAGAAAGGAGAGAAGGAGAAAAAGGTAGGGAAGGAAAGGAAGGATGGAGGAAAGAAAGAAGGGGAGGAAGGAAGGAAGAGAAAGAGGGAGAGGGGAAAGGAAGGACAAAGGGGTGGAAGGGAAGGAGAAAGAGAGAGGGAAGGAGAAAGGAAAGAGAGAAGAAAGAAGGGTCGGATGTTGAGAGCGAGAAGGTCTTGAAGAAAGAGTCCAAGGAGCCACATCCACCCCCTGAGCCTGGGTTTGCCCATACCTGCTCTGGAGACGTGGGAATATATATCATCCAAGGATTTGTGGGATGTAATGTACCGAAACCTAACAAAAATGTATGAAACAGCTGAATTTAGATGCTCACCCTTTGAACAAAGCACTCCGCGACTGCATGCGGACTGGGGTTTCGCTCCATGTCTTCCAGCAATTCGCTTCCGGGGAGAACGACGGAAAAAAAATCACATAATAATGGATTATTATCAATGGAACTCCCCCTTGGTGTCAACTACACTATGTCTATACATAGCTGGACTACCTTGCAGGGTTGTTGTAACCCCAACTGTGCAGAGATATAACATGGACACTTGAAAGACTCACTCCAGCTATACTAAAAAGCCTTCATTTCTGCAAATATTGCCAGTGGGAGTTCCCTTTCATGTAATCAAAGTGTTCAGGAGGGGTCCCCAAAGGACATCTAGTCCTTCCCGAGTAGAAATACACAACCAAAGCACTCCTGACAGAGAGCCATCCAAATTCTAATAATAATAATAATAATGCCAAATTCAAATACTAATCATTTAAACATCTCCCAAGACAGTGAAAAGCCCCATCCCAATGTTGAATCATAGAATCATAGAATCAAAGAGTTGGAAGAGACCTCATGGGCCATCCAGTCCAACCCCATTCTGCCAAGAAGCAGGAATATTGCATTCAAATCACCCCTGACAGATGGCCATCCAGCCTCTGTTTAAAAGCTTCCAAAGAAGGAGCCTCCACCACACTCCGGGGCAGAGAGTTCCACTGCTGAACGGCTCTCACAGTCAGGAAGTTCTTCCTCATGTTCAGATGGAATCTCCTCTCTTGTAGTTTGAAGCCATTGTTCCTTGTCCTAGTCTCCAGGAAGCAGAAAACAAGCTTGCTCCCTCCTCCCTGTGGCTTCCTCTCACATATTTATACATGGCTATCATATCTCCTCTCAGCCTTCCTCTTCTTCAGGCTAAACATGCCCAGCTCCTTAAGCCCTCCTCATAGGGCTTGTTCTCCAGAGCCTTGATCATTTTAGTCGCCCCCAAAGGCTAGGGCATCTTCAGTACCGGAGGGCATTTGAAGATTGGACACAATATTCCAGATGTGGTCTAACCAAAGCAGAATAGAGGGGTAGCATTACTTCCTTAGATCTAGACACTATGCTCCTATTGATGCAGGCCAAAATCCCATTGGCTTTTTTTGCCGCCACATCACATTCTGGCTCATGTTTAACTTGTTGTCCACGAGGACTCCAAGATCTTTTTCACACGTACTGCTCTCGAGCCAGGCATTGTCCCCCATTCTGTATCTTTGCATTTCGTTTTTTCTGCCTAAGTGGAGTATCTTGCATTTGTCCCTGTTGAACTTCATTTTGTTAGTTTTGGCCCATCTCTCTAATCTGTCAAGATCGTTTTGAATCCTGCTCCTGTCCTCTGGAGTATTGGCTATCCCTCCCAATTTGGTTTCGTCTGCAAACTTGATGATCCTGCCTTCTAGCCCTTCATCTAAGTCATTAATAAAGATGTTGAACAGGACCGGGCCCAGGACGGAACCCTGCAGCACTCCGCTCGTCACTTCTTTCCAGGATGAAGAGGAAGCATTGGGGAGAATCACCCTCTGGGTTCGTCCATTTAACCAATTCCAGATCCACCTCACCGTAGTTTTGCCTCGCCCACATTGGACTAGTTTCCTTGCCAGAAGGTCATGGGGGACCTTGTCAAAGAAGGCCTTCCTGAAATCCAGGTACACATTCCCCGCATCTACCCAGCTTGTAGAATAATTCCCTCTAAATATAGTATATTCTCAGTTAACTGGCACCCATTGGGATTGGTAGATGCCAGATAAATGTAGTTTCTGGTTGCTTGAGAGAGGCGATTAAATCTAACTAATAATGTAGCCCATACTTTGCAATACCATAAAGTCTGTATTGACATAATAATAATAATAATAATAATAATAATAATAATAATAAATAAAATGTATTATTGTTCATATTGAAATACAGTCATTAAAACCAAACTAAGACAGAGACATACTTGATGTAACACTATTTAACTGTGAAATAATAATAATAATCATAATAATAATCATAATTATAATCTCTATAAATATAAATGTAATGTTCATTTGTGGGATTAACATAACTCAAAAATCACTGGACCAATGGACACCAAATTTGGACACAAGACACCTCTCAGGCCAATGAGTGACCATCACTCATAAAAACACTTGAAAACACAATGGAAGGGACTTTAAAAGCCAAAAATAATAATAAATACATTACAACGCATGCGCAAAATCACACATATATATGCAAACACACACATATACACAAATATACACACACACAAAGCACATATACACATATCGGGCCACAGCAAAGCGTGGCAAGGGACAACTAGTAATAATAATAATAAGGTTCATCCCCTTATATTTTTGGGGACCACAACTCCCATGTGCCAAAGATGATGGATGTCTGAGTCCCCAAAAGTCGCTTCCGTGAGCTTTGGCAAACCAAGCCAGTTCGGTTGATCCTGGCCTTTCCCTTCAAGGGTTAACCCTGGAAAGGGGGTGGTGGGCTGCTTCTAAAGGGAAGACCGCAGACCCCACGGCTCCCCCACATCCTCTGTCTGTGCCCCCCATTGGGTTTCGCTTAAGCTTTTAAACAGGCCCAGATGGAGAAGCAGGTTGGTTGATGGAGCCCTTGGCAGGAGACCAGCTTTCACAAAGCAAAAACCGAAAAACGCAGCAGGGGAGGGACAAGGAGGGAACGAAGGAAGGGGAAAGAAGAGAGAAAGAAAGAAGGGGGGAAATGCATGGAAATTAGCCAAAAACCCCTTCCCAGGGAACAAGGTGTCCTCGGCATTAAGGTATTGCACTTCCTTGGAATTAATGCTCTTTTGGCATTGTGTTGCACATCCTTGGCCATAATGGGTTGCACATCCTTTGCATCACTGTGTTGTACATCCTTTGCATCAATGTGTTGCACAGCCTGTTGCACATCCCTGGCCATAATGTGTTGCACACCCTTTGCATTAATGTGTTGCACAACTTGTTGCACATCCCTGGCCATAATGTGTTGCACATCCCTTGCATTAATCTGTTGCACAGCCTGTTGCACATCCTTGGCCATAATGTGTTGCACATCCTTGGTCTTAATGTATGGCTCACTTATGGAATTAATGTATGGCACTCTTGGCACTAAGTTGCACATCCTTGGTCATAATGTGTTGCACATCCTCGACCTTAATGTGTTGCAAATCCTTTGCATTAATGTATTGCACATTCTTTGCATTAATGAGTTGCACATCCTTGGCCATAATGTGTTTCACATCCTTGGCCTTAATATATGTCTCACTTATGGAATTAATGTATGGCACTCTTGGCACTATGTTGCACATCCTTGTCATAATGTGTTGCACATCCTCAACCTTAATGTGTTGCAAATCCTTTGCATTAACGTACTGCACATTCTTTGCATTAATGAGCTGCACATCCTTGGCCATAATGTGTTTCACATCCTTGGCCTTAATATATGTCTCACTTATGGAATTAATGTATGGCACTCTTGGCACTATGTTGCACATCCTTGGTCATAATGTGTTGCACATCCTTGGTCATAATGTGTTTCACATCTTTTGCATTAATGTGTTGCACATCCTTTGCATTAATGAGTTGCACATTCTTTGCATTAATGTATTTCACAGCCTTTGCATTAATGGGTTGCACATCCTTGGTCATAATGTGTTGCACATCCTTTGCATCAATGTGTTGCATATTCTTTGCATTAATGTATTTCACAGCCTTTGCATTAATGGGTTGTACATCCTGGATCATAATGCGTTGCACATCCTTGGCCTTAATGTGTTGCACTTCCTTAAACCTTAATATGTTGCACATCCTTAGCTTTGATGTGTTGCACATCCTTGACATTAATATATTGCACATTCTTTGCACTGATGTATTGTACATCATTTGCATTAATGTGTTTCACACCCTTGGCCTTAATGTATGGCACATCATTGGCATTAATATGTTGCACCTCCTTGGCATTAATGTAAAGCACATCCTTGACCTTAATATAGGGCACACTTTTGTCCTTAATGTGTTACAAATCCCTGCCTTTAATGTATTTCATGCCCTTGGCCTTAATGTGTAGCACATCCTTTGCATTAATCCATTCCACATTCTTGACCTTAATTTGTTGCACATCCTTTGCATTAATATATTGCACATTTTTTATTAATGTGTTGCATGTCCTTTGAATTAATGTATTTCACATCTTTGTGCCATACGTTAATGTGCAATACATTAACGTATGGCACATCCTTGGCATTACGGTATGGAACACTCATGGCATTAATGTGTTGCACATCCTTGACTTTATTGTGTTGTCCATCCTTGCATTAATGTGTTGCACATCCTTGGCATTAATATATGGCACAACCTTGGCACCAATATGTTTCACATGCTGTGCATTAATGTATTTCACATCCTTTGCATTAAATGTGTTGCACTACCTTAGTCTTAATGCATTGTACACTCTTTGCATTAATGTGTTGCGCATCCTTCGGCTTAATGTATGGCACATTCTTTGTGTTAATGTGTTGCACATCATTGGCCCTAATGTGTGGCACACTCTTAGCCTTGATGTATGGCATACCCTTGGCCTTAATGTATGACACACTTTTGTCCTTAATGTGTTGCACATCCTTGACCTTAATGTATGGCACACTTTTGGCATTAATGTACGACACAGCTTTGTCCTTAAAGTGTTGCACATCCTTGACATTAATGTGTTTCAGATTTTTTGCATTCATCTATGGCACATCCTTGGCCTTAATGTATTGCATGTCCTTATTCATTAATACATTGCACATCCTTGGCCTTAATGTATGGCTCATTAACTGTATAGGGTATTATTTTTACCTGTTTTCACCAGTTTAAGTCATATATATGTATGATTTGTAGAAAGAAGAACTTGGATGTATATATACAGAGAGAGAGGGGGGGTATGTATGCATATATATATATATAGGTAAAGGTAAAGGTAAAGGTTTCCCCTTGACATTCAGTCTAGTTGTGTCCTACTCTGGGGGGTGGTGCACATCTCCATTTCTAAGCCGAAGAGCCGGCGTTGTCCATAGACACCTCCAAGGTCATGTGGCCAGCATGACTGCATGGAACACTGTTACCTTCCCACCAAAGTGGTACCTATTGACCTACTCACATTTGCATGTTTTTGAACTGCTAGGTTGGCAGAAGCTGGGGCTAACAGCGGGAGCTCACCCTGTTCCCCAGATTCGAACTGCATGGAACACTGTTACCTTCCCACCAAAGCGGTACCTATCGATCTATTCCCACCCCTCCCACCCCCATTTGCATGTTTTCGAACTGCTAGGTTGGCAGAAGCTGGGGCTAACAGTGGGAGCTCACCCTGTTCCCCAGATTCGAACTGCCCCAACCTTTCGGTCAGCAAGTTCAGCAGCTCAGTGGTTTAATCCACACACACACACACACACATATATACTAGCTGTCCCCTGCCACGCGTTGCTGTGGCCCAGTCTGGTGATCTGGAAAATAAAGTAATGAGAAAGTATTGGTTTCTAATATATGTAATTTCTTTCTGCTTGTGGGTAAACAGTATTTCTTGTTGTTTCTTTGTCAGTGTTGATGTGGAGAGTTGTCTGGTTTGCCTACTCTGGAACATGCAACATATCATTGTCCTTCTTTAAGGGTCCCTTTCAAATCTATGATACTATATCTCTGTGTGTGAATCCTATCTATCTATCTATCTATCTATCTATCTATCTATCTATCTATCTATCTATCTATCTATCTATCTTTCCATCTATCTATCTCTATGGCTGGATGGCTCTTTGTCAGGAGGACTTTGATTACATTTTCTTGCCCTGATGGAGGGAGTTAGATAGGATGGCCTTAAGTATTTTCTGATGGTCAAGCGGGTTCTGTGTGGGAAGATTGCCCCAATTCTGTCATTCGTGGTGTTCAGAATGCTCTTTGATTGTAGGTGAACTGTGAATCTCAGTGACTACAACTCCCAAATGTCAAGGTCTATTTCCCCCAAACTCCATCTGTGTTCATATTTGGGGATATTGACTGCTTGTGCCAAGTTTGGAGATCCATCATTGTTTGAGTCCACAGTGCTCTCTGGATGTAGGTGAACTACAACTCCAAAACCCAATGCCCACCAAACCCTTCCAGTATTTTCTGTTGGTAATGGGAGTCCTGTGTGCCAAGTTTGGTTCAACTCCATCATTGGTGGAGTGCAGAACGCTCTTTGATTGTTGGTGAACTATAAATCCCAACAACTACAACTCCCGAATGACAAAATCATAGTTTTTTGAGTGATGGTCACGCCTTGTGTTGTGAGACGTTTTGTTGCCAAATTTGGTGTGATTTCGTTCATTAGTTCTTTTGTTTTTAAGGTACTCATTACGCACAGAACATTTGTATATATAGAGATATATGCCGACAGGGGCGGCTCGTCCATTACGCAAAGTAAGCGGTCGCGGTACACTTTTTTTGCCAGGGGTGCAGAGGCACCTCTGTAAATGCCCCTCGACCACCACTTGAGGAGCGCCCCCTCGGCTCACAACAGCCCTAGCATTCTGGTGGGAGCCTTGGCTTCCTTGCCTCACTGCTCCATTTAAAGCCTGGAAAAGCTCCTTTTCTGGAAGGACTACAGATCCCGAAGGCCCCCGTCTGCTACGTTTCCCAAAATGGCACTTTCCCAAGTCCTTCTTTCTACAAAAGGAGCTGGCAATGTCCTTCTAAACCCGATGCTCTTTCTCAGACCTCTGTCTTAGTCTTTCTTTCTTTCTTTTCGCAGTAAGAAAACACCCGGCCCCTTTCGAAGCCCCTCTTCCCTGCTCGGATTACAACCTCAGCAAATTCCAAGGCCAAAAGCATTTCCTTTCACCAAAAAAAACCCCAAAACCCTTCCGTCTCGCTGTTAATTGCTGCAAAAACAGACCCGGAGAGCACACAGAAAGCAAAATCACCCCACGATGGAAGGACCCTGCTGGGCCCATTTATCATGTTGGTATGATGGGTCACCATAATACTCCCTAATGTCTTGCCGGGTGGAACTAGACCTCCCAACATTTCGGGACGAATAGGGCTAAGAGACCTCTGAATGCAAAAGTTATTGGAGATGAGCTCAGAGAGGTTGTAGCATTTCGCTTTCACTTGAAGTCAATTGCAAGCCGTTTTTGCCCTTTTGCAGCAACCGAAGTCAGCTGAGGATGAAGGAGGAGATGGAAACCGGGACATTTTAATCACAACTGGAAAAGTGGGAATGCACAGGAGTAATCCAGAATGTCCCTGCCAAATAATGACACCCGAAGAGGATGGCTCACTTCCAGAGCAAACCATTATTTTTAAGTAAGATTTTCTTGGGTTAAAAAGTAGTCTTATATGCCAGAATATACGGTATGTTGTTTAGCCAATATTGCACCACCTGACATATGCTGGGAAGTAGCAGCCAATAGTGAAAGGACCAAGGCAGGGACATCTCCAGCTCATCCCCTGTTTGGGTATCAGCCAGCAGGCCAATGACTTAAATCAAGAAATGGTTTTCTAAGATCTACAGAGATATTTTCAGGAACACCTCAGCAAGCAAGAGTCCAAAAGTGGCAGGCAAAAACCCCGAACCTCAATCAGTGGCTGACACCAGATGAGAGACTCCCTCATGGGCATGCAGGAGGGATTCTGTGCTATGCTGCTCTGCTGCTGAGTATGCATGCCCAGTGTGGTACACATCCCACCACGTTAAAACAGTGGATGTGGCTCTTAATGAGACATGCCGCATTATCACGGGGTGTTTTTGCCCTACGTCACTGGAGAAATTACACTGTTTAGCCGGTATTACACCACCTGACATCTGCCGGGAAAAGGAGGCTGAGAGGAGACATGATAGCTATGTATAAATACATGAGAGGAAGTCATAGAGAGGAGGGAGCAGGCTTGTTTTCTGCTGCCCTGGAGACTAGGATGCAATGGGTCAATGCCTTCAAACTACAAGAAAGGAAATTCCATCTGAACATTAGGAAGAACTTCACGACAGTGAGAGCCGTTCAGGAGTGGAACTCTCTGCCCTGAAGTGTGGTGGAGGCTCCTTCTTTGGAAGCTTTTAAACAGAGGTTGGATGGCTATCTGTCGGGGGTGCTTTGAATGCAATTTTCCTGCTTCTTGGCAGAATGGGGTTGGACTGGATGGCCCATGAGGTCTCTTCCAACTCTAGGATTCTATGATTCTATGTAGCAGCCAATAATAAAAGGACCAAGGCAGTGACATCTCCGACCCATCCTCTGTTCGGATATCAGCCAGCATTCCAATGCCTTAAATCAAGAAATAGCTTCCTAAGATCTACAGAGATATTTGCAGGAACACCTCAGCAAGCAAGAGTCCAAAAGTGGCAGGCTCAAACCCAGAACCTCAATCAGTGGCTGAGACCGGATGAGAGACTCCCTCCTGGGTATACAGAAGACTGGGAGACTTGGAAGGTGCTGAACAGACTGCGCTCTGGCACCACGAGATGCAGAGCCAACCTTCAGAAATGGGGCCACGAAGTGGAGTCCACGACATGCGAGTGTGGAGAAGAGCAAACCACAGACCACGTACTACAATGCAGCCTGAGCCCTGCTGCATGCACAATAAGGACCTTCTTACAGTAACACCAGGGACACTCCAAGTGGCCAGATACTGGTCAAAGCACATTTAATCAACTACCAAGCTTGCAAATTCTGTGTTTTGTCTGTTTGTTTGTTTGTTTGTTGTTGTTAAAAATGTAATACAAATGTCTGGTAGCTAATGACACGATAAATAAAACATAAAAGCATTAGCTTATTATTATTATTATTATTGTTATTATTATACCCCACTTTAGCCCTCTCGAAGGAGACTCAAAGCAGCCTGACATAAAAGCATCAGCATGCAATTTAAAATATACAAATATGCACATGTCAAAACAGGATTAAATATAAATAATATTTTAAAATGTCAAATTAAAAACCATGAAAACATATTCAAACTGGAGTGGAGTTGCTGTCCCACTGACCCCACACCTTGTAATCAATGTCACGTTTGCTGACATTGATTACAAGGTGTACTCAATGAGATATGTTTCTTATACACACACACACACACATTTATATACATACATACACTGTATAGACAATATTTATGTTTTTAATTATGCTGGAGACATCTCCAGCTCATCCCCTGTTTGGATATCAGCCAGCTCGTCAACAACTTAAATCAAGAAATAGTTTTCTAAGATCTACAGAGATATTTGCTGGAACACCTCAGCAAGCAAGAGTCCAAAAGTGGCAGGCAAAAATCCAGAACCTCAATCAGTGGCTGATACCAAATGAGAGACTCCCTCCTGGGCACATAGAAAACTGGGTGACTTGCAGGTGCTGAACAGACTGCGCTCTGGCACCACGAGATGCAGAGCCAACCTTCAGAAATGGGGCCACAAAGTGGAGTCCACGACACGCAAGTGTGGAAAAGAGCAAACCACAGACCACGTACTACAATGTAGCCTGAGCCCTTCCACATGCACAATGGAGGACCTTCTATAGCAACACCAAAGGCACTCCAAGTGGTCAGCTAGTGGTCAAAGGACATTTAGTATAATGCCAAGTTACATTACAATACATTACAACTGAACCTTCAGTTATGATAAATAAATACCTGTTGAATTCGTAGATATCTTCAATATTGCAAAACAAGGCATTGACCTGTTCGGGTTTGAGTGGCAGCTGCCCACAGTCGATGATGCAGCCGAGGTAATCCTGTCGGAAGAGAGAGATAAACAAATGAGACATGCAAACACCTTGCAACGGAGAGGCAATGGGGAGACATCCCACATCAACCTGGGAGTCTCCACAGCTGCATGGCTGCAAATCCCCACCAATATGGGAAACTATAGCTTTTTTAAAAGGCCTTTAGATAATTTGGAGTGCTGTTTAAATGCATTTGGAATCTCTTTAGGGATGGCCAAAGCAATTAAAAACATCTTTATTAATGACTTAGACGAAGGGCTAGAAGGCAGGATCATCAAGTTTGCAGACGACACCAAATTGGGAGGGATAGCCAATACTCCAGAGGACAGGAGCAGGATTCAAAACGATCTTGACAGATTAGAGAGATGGGCCAAAACTAACAAAATGAAGTTCAACAGGGACAAATGCAAGATACTCCACTTTGGCAGAAAAAACAAAATGCAAAGATACAAAATGGGGACAATGCCTGGCTCGAGAGCAGTACGTGTGAAAAAGATCTTGGAGTCCTCGTGGACAACAAGTTAAACATGAGCCAACAATGTGATGTGGCGGCAAAAAAGGCCAATGGGATTTTGGCCTGCATCAATAGGAGCATAGTGTCTAGATCTAGGGAAGTAATGCTACCCCTCTATTCCGCTTTGGTTAGACCACACCTGGAATATTGTGTCAAATTCTGGGCACCACAATTCAAGAGAGATATTGACAAGCTGGAATGTGTCCAGAGGAGGGCGACTCAAATGATCAAGGGTCTGGAGAACAAGCCCTATGAGGAGCGGCTTAAGGAGCTGGGCATGTTTAGCCGAAGGGTCTGGAGAACAAGCCCTATGAGGAGCGGCTTAAGGAGCTGGGCATGTTTAGCCTGAAGAAGAGAAGGCTGAGAGGAGATATGATAGCCATGTATAAATATGTGAGAGGAAGCCACAGGGGAGGAGGGAGCAAGCTTGTTTTCTGCTTCCTTGGAGACTAGGACGCAATGGAGCAATGGCTTCAAACTACAAGAGAGGAGATTCCATCTGAACATGAGGAAGAACTTCCTGACTGTGAGAGCCGTTCAGCAGTGGAACTCTCTGCCCCGGAGTGTGGTGGAGGCTCCTTCTTTGGAAGCTTTTAAGCAGAGGCTGGATGGCCATCTGTCAGGGGTGATTTGAATGCAATATTCCTGCTTCTTGGCAGAATGGGGTTGGACTGGATGGCCCAGGAGGTCTCTTCCAACTCTTTGATTCTATGATTCTATACACAATAGTAGGGAGGCTGTCGCAGTTTGTTTGAATTGAACTGGGAAGGGTCTCAGGCAGAAGAAGTTTTCAACCTGGATTGCTTTTATATGACATGTGAGCCCGCTTCGATCTCATTCGGTGGAATATAAATGTGCATCCCCATCATCTTGCTGTTCTATAGCCTCTCCCAAGTCTGTGATTTGATGAAAACGTCCATTTAGATGCACATTAGCACTTTTTTTTAATTAGAAGAAAGGTAAATTGGCATTTTTTATCATAAGAAAGGAAGAAAGCAATATCGGAGAATAATAATAATGAGAAGAAGGAGAAAAAGAAGAGGAGGAGGAGGGGGGAAGAAGAACGGGAAGGAGAAGAGGAGGAGGAGGAGGAGGAAGAGAAGGAGAAGAGGAAGAAGACAAAGGAGGAGAGGAAGAAGAAGAAGAGGAGAAGAGGAGGAGGAAAAAAAGAAGAGGAGGAGGAGGAAGAGGTGGAAGAAGAAGAAAAAGGAGGAGAAGAGGAAGAGGAAGAGAAGAGGAAGAGGAAGAGGAGAAAGAAGGAGGAGGAGAGGAGAAGAAGGAGAAAGAAGAAAAGGAGGAAGAAGAGGAAAGAAGAGGAAGAGAAGAGGAGAAAGAAGAAAAAAAGAGGAGGGAAAGAAGAGAAGGAGAAGAGAAAGAAGGAAAAGAAGAAGAAGAGGAGGGGAGAAAGAAGAAAAAGAAAGAGGAGGAGAAGGAGGAAGAGGAAGAACAAGAGGAAGAAGAGGAGGAGGAGGAAGAGGAAGGAGGAGGAAGAGGTGGAGGAAAGAAGAAAAAGAAAGAAGGAGGAGGAGGAGGAATAGGAGGAGGGGGAGAGAGGAGGAAGAAGGGAAAGAAGAAGAGGAGGAGGAGGAGAGGGGGAGGAGGAGGAAGGAAAAGAGAGGAAGGAGGAAGGGAGAAAGAAAAGGAAAAGAAGAGGAGGAGGAGAGAAGAAGAGAGGGGGGAGAAAGAAGAAAGAAGAGAAGGAGGAGGGAGAAAAGAAGAGGAAGAACAAGAGGAGGAAGAAGAGAAGGAGGATGAAGAAGAAGGAGGAGAGGAGAGGAAGAAAAGAGGAGGAAGAGGAGGAGGAGGAGAAGGAGAAGAGGAAGGAGAGGAGGAGAAGAAGAAAAAAGAGGAGGAGGAAGAGGGAAAGGAGGAGAGAGGAGAAAGAAGAGGAGGAGGAGGAAGAAGAAGAAAGAGGAGGAGGAGGAGAAAGAACAGGAAGAGGAGGAGGAGTAGGAGGAGGAGGAGGATGAGGAGGTGGCAGAAGAAGAAGAAAAAAGGTGGTACTATAGTCCCTTGCAGTATTATGATTCCATGAAAATGCCAATGTCATTACAGCAACGACAATGTTACTATCGTCCCTTGCAATGCCCATGTAAGTGTAAAATGTTATGTGTGAATGGGACATAACGTTTTGCATTTACACTGGTGTTTTCATTAGAAAAAGCATAGAGTATAAATGCCAAGGAGGGGGAGGAGGAAGTACGTACTCTAGTCCCTCCCAGTTGTATGATTCTGTGAAAACACCCATGTAAATGTAAGACGTCATGTGTGAATGAATCCATCCTGGGGTTCAACGATCAGGGTCAACGCACCAAAGTTTTAGAGAAGTGGAAGAAACAGACACCCTCTTCCCAGCCAAAGAGACCAACTCCATTTGCTCTGCTCTTTCTACCCAACCATCCCATACTTTGTGGTCCCAAGAGAGACCAAAGAATTCCAGAAATTCCAACAAAAGCAAGCCGTTGAGGGAAGAAAAGCCAGGAGGGAGGATGATTGCAAGTGTTCAAACTTACTCTTCTGGGGGGAAAGGGGACGCAGTCGTATACAAACCAGTGTATTCAGGAGACAACTTTTTCTCCATCCAAATCCAGTTGCAAAATTCAACTAGAGTAGATCCAACAGGGAGTGCATCTCCATAGTGTTGCCCTGGCTCAAGGCTATATAACCCTGGGAGTTGTAGTTTGGTGAGGCACTAGCACTCTGTCAGAGAAGGCCAAAGACCTTATGAAACTACAACTCCTATAGTTCCATCCCATTGGGCCAGGGAAGTTCAAGTGAGGCCGAAACTGCATTCATTCGACAGTATAGACCAGTGGTTCTCAACCTTGCGACCCCTCCAAAATGGCCAGGCGACCCCCCTGGGGGTTGCGACCCCCAGGTTGAGAACCGCTGGTATAGACGATGCACTCATACAAATTGCTAGAGAACACATACTCATATTTACTCACGTCTCCTGGCTCTTAGGAATTGTGGGAGTTGAAGTCCAAAACACCTGGAGGACCCAAGTTGGCCCATACCTGCTCTAGGATCACATCTTTACTCTCTTAAGCCTTTCAGTGTACTGTGTTATGAACACATGTCAATAAGAACTGTATTTTTTTCAAACGGAGGTACATGCAATGCATGTACCAACTATCTAGATGCATCGCAGTCTGGTTTTAGATCTGGCCATGGTACTGAGATCATAGAATTATAGAATCAAAGAGTTGGAAGAGACCTCATGGGCCATCCAGTCCAACCCCATTCTGCCAAGAAGCAGGAATATTGCATTCAAATCACCCCTGACAGATGGCCATCCAGCCCCTGTTTAAAAGCTTCCAAAGAAGGAGCCTCCACCACACTCCGGGGCAGAGAGTTCCACTGCTGAACGGCTCTCACAGTCAGGAAGTTCTTCCTCATGTTCAGATGGAATCTCCTCTCTTGTAGTTTGAAGCCATTGTTCCATTGCGTCCTAGTCTCCAAGGAAGCAGAAAACAAGCTTGCTCCCTCCTCCCTGTGGCTTCCTCTCACATATTTATACATGGCTATCATATCTCCTCTCAGCCTTCTCTTCTTCAGGCTAAACATGCCCAGCTCTTTAAGCCGCTCCTCATAGGCTTGTTCTCCAGACCCTTGATCATTTGAGTCGCCCTCCTCTGGACACAATCCAGCTTGTCAATATTTCTCTTGAATTGTGGTGCCCCGAATTGGACACAATATTCCAGGTGTGGTCTAACCAGAGCAGAATAGAGGGGTAGCATGGCTTTGGTCACCTTGGTGGATGACCTCCAAAGAGAGCTTGACAGGGGGAGTGTGTCCCTGTTGGTCCTACTGGATATCTCAGTGGCTTTCAATACCATCGACCATGGTATCCTTCTGGGGTGGCTCTCCAGAATGGGTCTTGGGAGCATTGCTCTGCAGTGGCTCCGCTCCTTCCTGGAGGGTCACTCCCAGTTGGTGAAGCTGGGGGATACCTGATCAGACCAGTGGCCTTTAACCTGTGGGGTCCCACAAGGTCCATTCTATCCCCCATGCTTTTCAATATCTACATGAAACCACTGGGTGAGGTTATCCGGAGTTTTGGAGTTGGGTGCCATCTGTATGTAGATGACACCCCACTCTACTACTCATTTCCACCAAATTCCCTTATCTCCACGACCCTCAAGGGTCCCTCTGGACCGTGCTCTGACCTACAAGAAGCACTGCCTGAATATCAAGCAAAAAGTGGGTGCTAGGAACAATATCATACGAAAGCTGACTGGCACAACCTGGGGATCACAACCAGACACAGTGAAGACATCTGCCCTTGCGCTATGCTACTCTGCTGCTGAGTATGCATGCCCAGTGTGGAACACATCTCACCACACTAAAACAGTGGATGTGGCTCTTAATGAGACATGCCGCATTATCACGGGGTGTCTGCGCCCTACACCACTGAAGAGCCGGTATCGCACCACCTGACATCCGCCAGGAAGTAGCAGCCAATAATGAAAGGACCAAGGCAGTAATGACATCTCCAGCCCATCCTTGTTTATCAGCCAGCACACCAACATCTTAAATCAAGAAATAGTTTCCTAAGATCTACAGAGACACTCGCTGGAATACCTCAGCAAGCGAGAGTCCAAAAGTGGCAGGCTCAAACCCAGAACCTCAACCAATGGCTGATACCAAATGAGAGACTCCCCTCTGGGCACACAGAGGACTGGGCACTTGGAAGGCGCTGAACAGACTGCGCTCTGGCACCACGAGATGCAGAGCCAACCTCAGAAATGGGGCCACAAAGTGGAATCCACGACATGCGAGTGTGGAGAAGAGCAAACCACTGACCACCTGCTGCAATGCAACCTGAGCCCTGCCACATGCACAAGGGAGGACCTCCTTGCGGCAACACCAGAGGCACTCCAAGGGGCCAGATACTGGTCAAAGGACATTTAATCAACTACCAAGCTTGCAAATTCTGTGTTTTGTCTGGTTGCTTGTTTGTTTTGTTAAAAATGTAATACAAATGTCTGGTTGCTGATGACACGATAAATAAATAAATACCTCCACGATGCTCCGGAGATCCCGCACGTAGGCTTGCTCCGTCTCGACGATCTCCAACACCACCCGGTCCAGGTGCGAGAGCTTCATACGCCGCTCTTTGGCCCTCCCGGGGTGGTCCTTGGGGTACCCAGGGGCATCCAAAAGGGCCACCGGCGTCAGGTCCAAGCTGATATCGCTCCCGTTTTGGTGGGCGTATGAAGACGGCGGAGGCGGCGGACAACCGATGAGCCCTCCGCTGCTGCCGAAAGCACTATGGCTGTCCTGGAGTGAAGCCGAGGAGGCAGAAGAGCTCAGGCTGACCGGGCGGTCGCTGTCCGAACAGACGGTGTTGACCGAGGTGCAGCTGCCCAACATGGGGTCGGAGGCCATGCCGGCACCGATGCCGCCCAGCGAGGAGACCGACGAGGGCCGGGGCGCTGCTTGGAGACATAAAGCAAAAAGGTGTGCTTTTAAAGGTCTTGCAAATCAAGTATTCTCACAGTTAGAAACATCCAAATTCCATAGAACGGGAGCGAGACAACAGCAAGTGAGAGCAAACTCCCGCTCGGAAGGAATGAATGTTCAAAAGCAGTGTTTCTCAACCTTCCCAATGCCACGGCCCCTTAATGCAGTTCCTCATGTTGTGGTGACCCTCAACCATAACATTATTTTTGTTGCTACTTCCATAGTTGGTGGAGTTCAGAATGCTCTTTGATTGTAGGTGAACTATAAATCCCAGCAACTACAACTCCCAAATGTCAAGGTCTATTTTCCCCAAATTCCACTAGTGTTCACATCTGGGCATACTGAGTATTCATGCCAAGTTTGGTCCTGATCCATCATTGTTGGAGTCCACAGTGCTCTCTGGATGTAGGCGAACTACAAGTGCAAAACTCAAGGTCAATGCTCCCCAAACCCTTCCAGTATTTTCTATTGCTCACAGTAGTTCTGCATGCTAAGTTTGGCCTAATTCTATCAGTGGTGGGGACCATAATGCTCTTTGATGGTAGGTGAACTATAAATCCCAGCAACTATAACTCCTAAAAGTTAATGTCTATTTCCCCCCAACTCCACCAGTGTTCACATTTGGGCATATTGAGTATCCATGCCAAGTTTGGTCCAGATCCCTCATGCTTTGAGTCCACAGTGCTTCTCTGGATGTAGGTGAACTACAACTCCCAAACTCAAGGTCCATACCCACCAAACCTTTCCAGTATTTTCTGTTGGTCATTGGAGTTCTGTGTGCCAAGTTTGGTTCAATTCCATCATTGGTGGAGTTAAGAATGCTCTTTGATTGTATTGATTGTTGGTCATGGGAGTTCTGTGTGCCAAATTTGGTTCAATTCCATCGTTGGTGGAGTTCAGAATACTCTTTGATTGTAGGTGAACTATAAATCCCAGCAACTATAACTCCAAAGTGATAAAATCAATGCTCTCCCCAACCCCACCAGTATTCAAATTTGGACATATCGGGTATTTGTGCCAAATTTGGGCCAGTGAATGAAAATACATCCTGCATATCAGATATTTACATGACAATTCATAACAGGAGCAAAATGACAATTATGAAGTAGCAACGAAAACAATGTGATGGTTGGGGGTCACCACAACATGAGGAACTGTATTAAGGGGTCACGGCATTAGGAAGGCTGAGAAGCACTGTATCAACTTTTCCTTAGCTCCCTCCAACCAGAGACCTAATCTCATATCATGGGACAACAGTAGCAAAATGACAGTTCTGAAGTAGCAACGAAAATAATGTTATGGTTACCTCTAAGTAGCTATAACACATACACAATGTGTCTATTAAAACCTAAAGGGAAGTAATGCTACCCCTCTATTTTGCTCTGGTTAGACCACACCTGGAATATTGTGTCCAATTCTGGGCACCACAATTCAAGAGAGATGTTGACAAGCTGGAATGTGTCCAGAGGAGGGCGACTAAAATGATCAAGGGTCTGGAGAACAAGCCCTATGAGGAGCGGCTTAAGGAGCTGGGCATGTTTAGCCTGAAGAAGAGAAGGCTCAGAGGAGACATGATAGCCATGTATAAATATGTGAGAGGAAGCCACAGGGAGGAGGGAGCAAGCTTGTTTTCTGCTTCCCTGGAGACTAGGACGTGGAACAATGGCTTCAAACTACAAGAGAGGAGATTCCATCTGAACATTAGGAAGAACTTCCTGACTGTGAGAGCCGTTCAGCAGTGGAACTCTCTGCCCCGGAGTGTGGTGGAGGCTCCTTCCTTGGAAGCTTTTAAACAGAGGCTGGATGGCCATCTGTCAGGGGTGATTTGAATGCAATATTCCTGCTTCTTGGCAGAATGGGGTTGGACTGGATGGCCCAGGAGGTCTCTTCCAACTCTTTGATTCTATGATTCTATATACACACACATATACACACACACAAAAACACATATACACAAACTGGGCCACAGCAACGCATTCATCACACAAGAAAAATGACAGTTGTGAAGCAGCAACGAAAACAATGTGATGGTTGGGGGTCAGCACAACATGAGGAACTGTATTAAGGGGTCGCGGCATGAGGAAGGTTGAGAAACACTGCTCTAAGTAACCAAAACACATACACAATGTGTCTATTAAAACCTAACGTAAATAAACATTAGCATAGAATTAAATTCGGGACTTGCTCGAACGGCATAATTAAAAACAATGCAATCATTTTTAGAAATCCTTGTTAAACTACGCAAGGCACACACACAACACCTGGATGTCCATCTGTCGGGAGGGCTTTGATGGTGTCTTGCTGCATGGCAGAATGAGACCAGATGGTCCTTGGAGTCTCTTCCAAATCTACGATGCTATGATGTGCTCAGAACCCGTTTCCGTCTCTCTTTGCAGCATCCTTTTGTGGCCTTTTCTCACCTTTTGAAGCTGGCTGTGGTTTCTCTCGCAATGCATCCTGGGAGGAGGCTTCAGTGCGAGAAGCACCTTTGGCCCCCTTTTCCGCCACATCTCCCCCTTCTTCTTCCTCATCTCGACCTATTGTTTCCTCCTCCCACCACTCTAGAAAAGCTCTGCACAAATAGCTGTGTTTGCAAGCAAAAATTTCCTTTTGCAAAACTTTGCAAAAGGGCGAGCGAATGCAAACTGTTTGCAGCACAATTGTGCACAGAATCAGCCTTGCCCTGCAAAAGGTTTTCACCAGGAGAGGATTCACTGAATCTATGGGCCATGTAACCTAGAACAGGGGTCCTCAAACTTTTTAAACCGGGGGCCAGTTCACTGTCCCTCAGACCGTTGGAGGGCCGGACTATAGTTTTTTTTTTAAAGAAAAATCAATTAAAAAATCCCTCTGCACATTGCACATATCTGATTTTGCTGTGTGGAAGGGTTCTTTCTCGCCCTCTTTAGGCAGCAATTCCAGGAGCAGAGAATGGGAAATCTTCCTATTTCTAGTCTGAACAAAATCTGGCTACCAGTATTAAAAAAACTCTAAAATTACAACTGTAAATAAAGAACAACACTCAAACACAGGGGAACTCCAGACAAGAAACAATCAGGGCCGGCTAATCACCTCTCAACAAAGGATTCTCCCTAAAAACTGTCAGGCTACGAAATGGCAATAAGGTGGCCAATTGAAACATTCATACCTACCTCCACTAAAACAGTGGATGTGGCTCTTAATGAGACATGCCGCATTATCACGGGGTGTCTGCGCCCAACACCACTGGAGAAATTACACTCTAGCCGGTATTGCACCACCTGACATCCGCCGGGAAGTAGCAGCCAATAGTGAAAGGACCAAGGCAGAGACACCTCCAGCTCATCCCTTGTTTGGGTATCAGCCAGCACGTCAACGACTTAAATCAAGAAATAGTTTTCTTAGATCTACAGAGACACTCGCTGGAACACCTCAGCAAGCGAGAGTCCAAAAGTGGCAGGCCCAAACCCAGCACCTCAATCCGTGGGTGATACAGATGAGAGACTCCCCCCTGGGCACACAGAAGACTGGGCGACTTGGAAGACGCTGAACAGACTGCACTCTGGCACCACGAGATGCAGAGCCAATCTTAAGAAATGGGGCTACAAGGTTGAATCCATGACATGCGAGTGTGGAGAAGAGCAAACCACTGACCACCTGCTGCAATGCAACCTGAGCCCTGCCACATGCACAATGGAGGACCTTCTTGCGGCAACACCAGAGGCACTCCAAGTGGCCAGATACTGGTCAAAGGACATTTAATCAGCTACCAAGTTTGCAAAATTTGTGGGTTTTTTAAATCTGTTTGTTTGTTTTGTTCTGTTAGAAATGTAATACAATGTTCTGGTTGCGGATGACACGATAAATAAATAAATAAATAAATAAATAAATAAATACCTACCTTCAACAGACAAGAGTTCTTTCCCCCACCCTGGATCTTCCACAATTTTCCTAGTTAAAGGTTTTCCTCTGACATGAAGTCCAGTCGTGTCTGACTCTGGGGTGTGGTGCTCATCTGCATTTCTAAGTCGAAGAGCCGGCGTTGTCCGTAGACACCTCCAAGGTCATGTGGCCGGCATGACTGCATGGAGCGCCGGGGCAGCCTCCCTTGGCTGGCTCACACTGCCCATCGGGAGGAGCCAAGGGAGGAGCAGCCCCGCGCAGCCTACTCACGAGTAAAGCACCTTGCGAGGTGCTTTATGCACAAGTACGTCACACGGAGTAGCTGCCCTTGGTTGACGCATGCTGCCCATCGCGCCCAATGGGCAGCGTGAGCCAGCCAAGGGAGGAGCAGCACAGCGCGGCTTACTCGCGCGTAAAGCACCTCACGGGCCCAATGGGCAGCGTGAGCCAGCCAAGGGAGGCTGCCCCAGCGCTCCATGAAGTCATGCCGGCCACATGACCTTGGAGGTGTCTACGGACAACGCCAGCTCTTCGACTTAGAAATGCAGATGAGCACCACACCTCAGAGTCAGACACGACTGGACTTCATGGCTGGCTGGCTCACGCTGCCCGTTGGGCCTGACGGATAGCGTGAGCCAGCCAAGGGAGGGGCACTGTGTGTGTGGGGGAGGGGGCGCTCCTCCTCCGCAGGCCAGATAAGTGCCCTTGGCGGGCCGGAAGTGGCCCGCAGGCCGTAGTTTGAGGACCCCTGACCTAGAATATCAAGGCAGACAATCCATAATATCTGCTTTGAACTGGGTAATCTGAGTCCGCATTGCCATATAATCCAGTTCGATATGAGTTTTATACATCTGTGTGGAAGTGGCCTTAAAGAGTTGGAAAGGAATGCAAAAGATTTTGCAGCACAATTGTGAACAGAGTAAGTCTTGCACTACAAAAGGTTTTCACCAGGATAGGATTCATTGACTCTACATGGCTTTCCACATAGCCACATAATCCAGAATATCAAGACAGACAATCCACAATATCTGCTTTGAACTGGGTTATCTGAGTCCACATTGCCGAGCCCCCGGTGGCACAGTGGGTTAAACCCCTGTGCATGGAGGACTGAAGAACGACAGGTCACAGTTTCGAATCCGGGGAGAGGCGGATGAGCTCCCTCTGTCAGCTCCAGCTCCCCAAGCAGGGACATGAGAGAAGCCTCCCACAAGGATGGTAAAAACATCAAATTATCCGGGTGTCCTCTGGGCAACGTCCTTGCAGGCGGCCAATTCTCTCACACCAGAAGCAACTTGCAGTTTCTCAAGTCGCTCCTGATATGACCAAAAAAAAAAAAAAAGTCCACATTGCCATATAATCTAGTTTGATGTGGGTTTTATACAGCTGTGTGGAAAAGGCCTTAAAGAGTTGGGACATTTGAAAGGCTAACCTTCTTTTGCCAGGCAGAAAGACACCATCAAATAAACATAAACATAATACTAATACTACTACTACTACTACTACTACTACTACTACTGATAATAATAATAATAATAATAATGGTGGTCCCAGAGGTGATCGGCACACTGGGTGCAGTGCCTGAAGACCCTGGCCTGCACTTAAAAACAATCAACACTGACAAAATCGCCACCTGTCAGCTGCAAAAGGCCACCCTATTTGGATCTGCACACATTATTCTTCGATACATCACACAGTCCTAAACTATAATTATTATTTAAAGATTGAACTGCAAAGACTCTGGCACAAGCCAGTCAAAGTGGTCCCAGTAGTGATCGGCACACTGAGTGCAGTGCCTGAAGACCCTGGCCTGGACTTAAAAACAATCAACACTGACAAAATCACCACCTATCAGCTGCCAAAGGCCACCCTACTTGGATCTGCACACATTATTCGCCGATACATCGCACAGTCCTAGACACTTGGGAAGTGCCCAACAAAAGTGATCCAATACAATAGGCCAAACTTTGCCCATGCCTGGGATAATCCACATTATTTGCTTTGAACTGGATTATATGAGTCTACACTTCCATGTAGTCCAGTTCAAAGCAGATAATCTGGATTTTATGTGGCAGCGTAGAAGGGGCCTTAGGGCCTTTCCAGATAGTCCCTATATCCCAGTATCTGATCCCAGATTTTCTGCTTTAAACTGGATTATATGAGTCCCCACTGCCAGATAATCTGGGATAAACAGAAAACCTGGGATCAGATCATGGGATTTAGAGCCTGTCTAGAGAGCAATCATATCCTCAAGTTGTACATAGAATTGCATTGAAGACCTACAAACATTTAGCATAACAACAACAACAACAACAATAAGATACTTTATATATCTTAAAGGAAACTCAAAGTGGAAATATGACTATGAGAAACTTCCACTGGAGGTTGACTATAGAGATATGCTGCAGGGAGCAGAAAACTCCCAGAGAGGTGTCTTAGGGTGTCTACACTATAGAATTAATGCAGTTTGAGACCCCTTGAACCGCAATGGCTCATTGCTATGGAATCATAGAGGCTATACTTTGCATGGCAGAGAAGTGAATGACCCTATAAAACTACAACTCCCAGGATTCTATCACATGGAGACATGGCATGTTCAAGTGGTGCCAAACTGGATTAATTTAACAGTGTAGATGCACCTTGAGTTAGAAATACTAACCTGTTTTGCCTCCCTTCTTGGTGCTGCCCCTTCGGGCTCCTTCGGGCATGTTGACGTGGTCTTCGGCGCCCGTCCTGCAATAATAATATCAATAATAATAATTGTTGTTCATTCGTTCAGTCGTCTCCGACTCTTCGTGACCTCATGGACCAGCCCACGCCAGAGCTCCCTGTCGGCCGTTACCACCCCCAGCTCCCTCAAGGTCAGTCCAGTCACTTCAAGGATGCCATCCATCCATCTTGCCCTTGGTCGGCCCCTCTTCCTTTTGCCTTCCACTTTCCCCAGCATCATTGTCTTCTCTAGGCTTTCCTGTCTCCTCATGATGTGGCCAAAGTACTTCAACTTTGTCTCTAGTATCTTTCCCTCCAGTGAGCAGTTGGGCTTTATTTCCTGGAGGATGGACTGGTTGGATCTTCTCGCAGTCCAAGGCACTCTCAGAACAATAATATCAACAACAAAAACAAAAACAACAGCAACAACAACAACTCTGGCACAAGCCACTCAAGGTGGTCCCAGTGGTGATCGGCACACTGGGTGCAGTGTCTCAAGACCTTGGCCTGCACTTAAAAACAATTGGCACTGACAAAATTACCATCTGTCAACTGCAAAAGGCTACCCTACTGGGATCTGCACACATTATTTGCTGACGTGTGATCCAATACAACAGCGGTTCTCAATAATTGTTTTTCTTCATGTTCAGTTATAAAATGATAAGTCAACACTTAAATGAGTCACATCAACTCAATAATAATAATAATAATAATAATAATAATAATAGATGCTGTCTTTATGTTACTAAAACCAAAGGTTGGAAGAGGCAAGACTAGCAATGGGTTACTCAGGAGAGAGCGCCTCTAGAACATTGCCATATAGCCCGAAAAAACCTACAACAACCCAATGGGTTACTCTCTTTGTGTGGATGTACAACTGCTATATAATGTAGTTTGAAGACGGCATGATATGGTCAGTGTAGACTCATATAATGTATCATATGGGTCTACACTGACCGTTTGATGCCGTGTAGATCTATCCAAAGAGATAGTTTCATCTATGCTGATGACCATGCCATTACGGCTCAAGCAGGGAGCTTTGAGATGGTTGAACAGAAGCTTTCCGAAGCTCTAGGTGCTCGCACTGCCTATTACAGGGAAAACCAGCTGATTCCTAACCCATCTAAAACACAGACATGTGCCTTTCATCTCAAGAACAGACAAGCATCCCGAGCTCTGAAGATCACCTGGGAAGGAATCCCACTGGAGCATTGCAGCGCACCCAAATACCTGGGAGTCACTCTGGACCGTGCTCTGACCTACAAGAAGCACTGCCTGAACATCAAGCAAAAAGTGGGTGCTAGAAACAATATCATACGAAAGCTGATTGGCACAACCTGGGGATCACAACCAGACACAGTGAAGACATCTGCCCTTGCTATGCTACTCTGCTGCTGAGTATGCATGCCCAGTGTGGAACACATCTCACCACACTAAAACAGTGGATGTGGCTCTTAATGAGACATGCCGCATTATCACGGGGTGTCTGCGCCCTACACCACTGGAGAAATTACACTGTCTATCCAGTATTGCACCACCTGACATCCGCCGGGAAGTAGCAGCCAATAGTGAAAGGACCAAGGCAGAGACATCTCCAGCTCATCCCCTGTTTGGTATCAGCCAGCACGTCAACGACTTAAATCAAGAAATAGTTTTCTAAGATCTACAGAGACACTCGCTGGAACACCTCAGCAAGCGAGAGTCCAAAAGTGGCAGGCTCAAACCCAGAACCTCAACCAATGGCTGATACCAAATGAGAGACTCCCTCCTGGGCACACAGACTTGGAAGGCGCTGAACAGACTGCGCTCTGGCACCACGAGATGCAGAGCCAACCTTAAGAAATGGGGCCACAAAGTGGAATCCTCGACATGCGAGTGCGGAGAAGAGCAAACCACTGACCACCTGCTGCAATGCAACCTGAGCCCTGCCACATGCACAATGGAGGACCTTCTTGCGGCAACACCAGAAGCACTCCAAGTGGCCAGATACTGGTCAAAGGACATTTAATCAACTACCAAACTCACACACTTTGTATTTTCTCTGTTTGTTTGCTTTGTTCTGTTAGAAATGTAATATAAATTGACTGGTTGCCCTGACACGACAAATAAATAAATATCCAAAGAGAACAACCCATAGCAAGCCTTGCATTTTCCGCCTCTGGCGCAGGAAAGTCCTCATCTGGCGAAGGAGGCGGAGGTTTTGCTTGCCTTCCCCGACCTGCCACCTTTTCTTGAATCAAGTCATTGTTTCTCAGACACGGCGACCTTTTCGCCCTTCGCCTCCACAGGATGGGTGACGCAGCAGCCCCAGTTTACCCTGCAACTTGCGAGGGTTTTTACAAGACTTCCTTGGTTTGGAACAAAGGCCTTTGTGCAAGGAGAGGACAGGCATGGCCATCCGAGGAAGGCTACCGGGCGATGCTCCTACAACACTGTCAAATGCATGCAGTTTGGCACCACTTGCACGGCCTTGGCTCCATCCTATAGAAGCCTGAGCTTGACGGTTTTGCAAAGCCTTCAGCTTTCTGTGCAAATACACGCAGTTCCAGAGTTACAAACTTCCGACTTACAAACGACTCATAGTTAAGAGTGGAGGAGAGACAACAGGAAGGGAGAGAAGTCTACCCTTCGGAAGGGAAAGAGTTATTACCATGGGGAAAAGGCGTCTCCACTGAAGCTTTATCTCCAATCCTTGTTTCCACAACAAGCCAAATTTTCCAAAATTCAATTATCACAGCCACAGAAAGGGTAGCGCAATCTTCTGAACAGAGGCACAGACAGCAAAGGACACCTCAGAGGGGTGTTCACCCTTCCCTATGCTATCTAAATCATATATGTTAATAATAATAAACTTTATTTATACCTTGCCATCACCTCCACAACGGGGACTCAGGGCGGCTTACATGAGGCCAAGCCCAATCAACAAATTACAGCAAAATGAAACCAAAAACACATGCAACAAACAACAATGTAATGTCAGCTGTCTTCATAGACCTGTCAGTGGCTTATGATACCGTAAACCACCGCCTCCCCCTGAGGAAAAATGTATGATATCACAAAGGACGACCACCTCACCCGCCTCATAGGAAACCTGCTACAAAACAGGAGCTTTTTTGTTGAGTTCCAGGGCCAGAGAAGCAGATGGCGGAAACAGAAGAACGGCCTGCCTCAGGGGAGCGTGCTTGCTCCATCCATGCTCAACATCTACACAAATGACCAACCACTGCCAGAAGGGACAGAGAGTTTCATCTATGCTGATGATCGTGCCACCACCGCTCAAGCAGGGAGCTTTGAGATGGTAGAACAGAATCTCTCCGAAGCTCTAAGTGCTCTTACTGCCTGTTACAGGGAAAACCAGTTGATCCCTAATCCATCTAAAACACAGACATGTGCTTTTCATCTCAAGAACAGACAAGCATCCCGAGCTCTGAGGATCACCTGGGAAGGAATCCCACTGGAGCATTGCAGCGCACCCAAATACCTGGGAGTCACTCTGGACCGTGCTCTGACCTACAAGAAGCACTGCCTGAACATCAAGCAAAAAGTGGGTGCTAGAAACAATATCATACGAAAGCTGACTGGCACAACCTGGGGATCACAACCAGACACAGTGAAGACATCTGCCCTTGCGCTGTGCTACTCTGCTGCTGAGTACGCATGCCCAGTGTGGAACACATCTCACCACACTAAAACAGTGGATGTGGCTCTTAATGAGACATGCCGCATTATCACGGGGTGTCTGCGCCCTACACCACTGGAGAAATTACACTGCTTAGCCGGTATTGCACCACCTGACATCCGCCGGGAAGTAGCAGCCAATAGTGAAAGGACCAAGGCAGAGACATCTCCAGTTCATCCCTTGTTTGGGTATCAGCCAGCATGTCAATGACTTAAATCAAGAAATAGTTTTCTAAGATCTACAGAGACACTCGCTGGAACACCTCAGTAAGCGAGAGTCCAAAAGTGGCAGGCTCAAACCCAGAACCTCGACCAATGGCTGATAACAAATGAGAGACTCCCCTGGGCACACAGAAGACTGGGCAACTTGGAAGGCGCTGAACAGACTGAGCTCTGGCACCACGAGATGCAGAGCCAACCTTCAGAAAATGGGGCCACAAAGTGGAATCCACGACATGCGAGTGTGGAGAAGAGCAAACTACAGACCACCTGCTGCAATGCAACCTGAGCCCTGCTACATGCACAAGGGAGGACCTCCTTGCGGCAACACCAGAAGCACTCCAAGTGGCCAGATACTGGTCAAAGGACATTTAATCAACTACCAAACTTGCAAATTTTGTGTTTTGTCTGTCTATTTGTTTTGTTCTGTTAGAAATGTAATACAATTGTCTGGTTGCCCCTGACACAATATTATTATTATTATTATTATTATTATTATTATTATTATTATTATTAGAAACACAACAAGATGAGTCCACAGTAGACAAGATCACTCTGCTGGCTGTTGTATTGGATCATACATCGGACCCTTCCCATGTGCCTAGGACTGTGTGATGTATCGGCGAATAATGCGTGCAGATCTCAGTAGGGTGGCCTTCTGCAGATGGCACATGGCAATTTTGTCAGCGCCGATTGTGTTTAAGTGCAGGCCAAGGTCTTTAGGCACCGCACCCATTATTTATTTATTACTTGAAACACCACAAGATGAGTCCACAGCAGACACTCTGCTGGCTGTTGTATTTTTATAATTATAATTATAACCAGAAATGGGGTTCTCCTGCCTTTGGAGGGTCCTTAGGACAGGAAAAAGGGCTCCTAGTAATTATTTTGATAGCTTAAGCAGCTGAGGAGGGAAAGCATAGGATGGCATAGCAATGAACCATTCATTCTACAATGTAAATCAGGCTTGGGCAAATTTGGGTCCTCCAGGTGTTTGGACTTCGCCTTCCACAATTCCTAACTGCCTACCAGCAAACTTGAGCCCTACCGGCTGTTAGGAATTGTGGGAGTTGAAGTCCAAAACACCTGGAGGGTCCAAGTTTGCCTGTTGCCTCAGATGCATCCAG